TTTGCAGTTCCTATCATGTCATGGGGTCCCAGTTTCAACTTTAGTATTTGGTTTGTGCAGCTGTCAGGAGTTGATGATCCAGTGATTGTTCAACCAAGTCTGGCATGGTTTAACACTGTAAGTATATGATGGTATTTTGAGGTTCCTCCCCCAAGGGAAAACTGCATCATGGTGACCATTATTTGAGCTTTAGAGCTTTGGACAAGCTTTAAACTATGGTGTACATGCTTCTGTAATTTGAATTTCTTCCAAACATTTTCCTGTAAAAGCCGAACTTGCTCATTAGATAGGCTCGATTACCAGCCACTGTTCAGGAAAAGAGCCTGCACTCCTCTCCCAAAGCCACGGCTGGATGTGTTAGGATTCTTTTATTAGTCTTAGCCAATCAGATAACCGCCCTCAGAGTTTTGTCGGGCATAGATTATCTCGTCAGTTCAATGGTGGGCCTGGATGGCAGACAATGGGAATTAATAAATGTCTTGTGAGAGAACTTAAGAGACCTTTAAGATCGAAAGTTTAAAAATTCACAATGAGGAANGAAGCAATACGCCTATGTTTGAAACATTTTCGACAGCACAACTACACAGAAGCTTTTGAGTCATTACAGAAAAGAACAAAGATCTCTCTTGAACATCCTGTTCTGACAGAACTTCATCAAAAACTGGTAACAGTTTTTATTAATTACATGTATTGATAATTACTGTTTTGATACTTGCTAATAAAATGAAGTAAAAGATGAGGTCTAGCCTGGATTTCAAAAGAAAGCATCCATAATTTCATAGACATACAGGACCAAAATCTCCTCCTCCTGGGTGCTCTCTCAAGAAAATAATTATATACACAACACTCAAAGACTTTTAAATTAATTCACTCACAAATAACTATCAAGCTTGATATATATAAAGAACTAGATGCCTTGCTACGTGTACCCAGGCAGTCGTTATATTGAGAAGCACCAGCTATATTGCAATTGAACTAAATGTTCTGCATTTGAAGTCGTACGAAATTCAATCGAATAGATGTGCTCAAACTATTCTGCCTTTGATTGTATTTCTTGGGATCGATTAATAGCTTATTACTCGTTTGCAGGCCTTTAGGGCGTGAAATGAGTCAAGGTCTTTATATCAGCCTATAAA